AGTCAGCAGTCGGGAGCAGGGTGGCTAGCTATCCCACGCCACCCTGCGCTGCGGTCAGGCTCCGCCGGAACTAAGACCGTTTCTCCGCTCGCCCGCAGACATCGAGGAGGACTCCTTCAGGAGGATGAACAAGTGCCTGTCCCGCATGATCCGGAACAAGAACCACCAGTTCCTGGTGGCCGACCAGGGCCTGGTCTTCGAGAATGGGCCCGTGGAGCAGGCACCTTTCGGTAACGTCCCGTCGCCCCATCCCTGTGTGTGCTCCGACTCCCGCGCCCCTCTGTCCTGCTGCTGCGGGATACAGAGACCAGAGCCCACGCAGCTCCGATCCCTGTGTGCTCCAATTCCCGCGCCCCTCTGTCCTGCTGCTGCGGGATACAGAGACCAGAGCCCACGCAGCTCCGATCCCTGTGTGCTCCAATTCCCGCGCCCCTCTGTCCTGCTGCTGCGGGATACAGAGACCAGAGCCCACGCAGCTCCGATCCCTGCAGCGTGCAGGGGACACGCTGAACAAATCTTCTCTGTTTCGGAGTCCCGCGTCTCCAGAGGCCTGTGTTGTCTCTCCCCCGCAGACCGGCGCTTCTCCATCGAGATGTACGGCACCACGGAGTGCGCCCGGGGCGTGGCCGTGGTCATCCGCTTCTTCAGCGAGGGCTGCTGGCACGTGGTGCGCTGCACGCAGGAGGGCAGCAGGAAGAAGGTGGAGGCCTCGGTGAGTGGCCCCCGGGGGCCCCGGGCACGGGGTGGGGGGAAACGACACCGAGAGGCGTGGCCAAGCCCGGCGGCCCCCCCTCCTCCCTCGCTCCGTGTGCGTGTGGCGATTTTTTTTCCTCTTTCCTTGAGATGGGGTGGGCACGCGCCTGGAGAAGCTGCCTGGCGTGGGTGGGGTTTGGGGGGGCTGAGATGGGCAGGGGGGGGGAGAGATCCAGCAATCCAGCCCAGGTTTGTCCTGGGGGGGGGGATCTTCCGGTCCTGCGATCCGAGTCTCCCTTCCATCCCACTGACCTGCGTCCCGCCTCTGCCCCCCCCCTCCGCAGTCCGAGCAGGTGCCCGACTACGTGCCCGACTCCTGCAACGACGCCGTGTTCTTCCTGCAGGCGGTGGAGGGGCAGAGCAACAAGTTCATGTTCGAGTCCTCCAGGTGGCGCTGCTGGTTCCTGGCCTTCTCCGCCGAGGGGGGCTTCTACAAGCTGGTCCTGCAGCCGCGGGCGGACGAGGTGGACGAGCGCCAGCTCTTCACCCTGGAGAAGTAGGGTGCGCCCCTCTCTCCCGCCGCCGCCGCCGCCCCCTCGGGAGGCCCCGAGCACGCGCGCCGGGATCACACGGCCCTTTTCGGAGCGGGCCCAGCTCTGCGGTCAACCCCTCCTCCTCCTCGGACTGCTCGATACTCCCACGGGCCCTGCCCAGGCCGCCAGAGACACATCTCTCCCGTCGGGCCCCGGCCCACATCCTGCGGGGGGCTCTATTTTGAGCTTGTGACTTTTAAATTATTGTTTGACCTTCTTGTTCTGAAGAGAGTTTGGATTGGTTTATTTTTACCGTTACTTTTCATTTACCACTCTGTACATCGAGCTTGTGGCGCCCATTAAATATGCTGAGAGCCAGCCCTGCCTGTGTGATTGGTGGTTCGCCCAGCCCCAGTGTTTAAAAATCCAGCCCGTTCCACCCAGCCGGTGACGCTCCGGAGCTCTAGACACACACCGCTCATTCCCAGAGGAATCCTACAGCTACAGCTCATCCAGGGGGGCCCGGATCGGCTCCTGGAGATCTCTAGACTAGTCGATCCAGCTCGGCTCTCGTCCGAAATCCGGCTCCTTCCTGCCTCCATGTCACGAGCCTGATGTGGCTCGTGAGCTCCTGGTGCCCCTACTCGGACCTACGCAGGCCTGCAGCCCCAGTGCCCCTCCAGAACCGGGCCTGGGCACCCCTGCGTGGCTCCAGTGTCCACAGTGAGGCTCTGCTGGACCTCTGCCACCCCCCCGCGAGGTGGATGAGGGGCGCCAGGGCGGCTGGCCGAGCTTACAGACCAGGTTAGAAGCACCGGGCAAACGGAGGGCGCTGGCTCCGAGCTCAGCAGGCGGGAGAAGCCGGCATTCCCCAGACTGGGAAGCAGCTGGGAGCGGTGGTCCGGCAGGGGGTAGCCCCCAGGCTGCCTGGGCCCCTCGGTCGCGCTGCCCGTGGAGGCGGGAGGCAGGGAGGGACATATCCAGAGCTCCGGCCTGGGAAACCAGCCAGAACGTGCGGCTCACTGCCTCAGCGCTGGGCAACCAGCTGGCAGGAAGGGAGCCCATCCTCTGCCCTGCCCGAGACCGGACACGGACGGCCGGCTCTGGGAGCAGACACAGACTCTGGGTCTTTCCCCCCCACAAAAGCAGGATAAAAGGCCCTCATGTCCCGGCCAAATTTCCCCCTGGTGTCAGGAATCCCCGATGGAGAGATACGAGGATCCTGTGCAGACGCAGGAGAGGGTAGGCAACGTTGGGGAGCCGCAAGACGGGAGGTAACTGGGGTGATCCGGGAGAGAATCTGGAAGGGGCCGATTCTTCTTCTTGGAAGGCAGGCGTAGAGGTAGGGTTACGAACTCTCCTCTCCGAAAACGGGGGGGCTGGTCTGCGGTGCCGGTTGGCGAATTTGGCCTGGCGCCGGGACGACCTGGCGAGAGCAGTCCTCGCCGTTCTCCGGGTCCTCTGCAGCTTGGAAAGATCTTGGCGCACCAAGGGGCGACGGGGAAGGAGTCCCAGGAGATGGGAGGATCATGCTTCCTGAGCCAGGGAAGACCCCGGATTACTGGGCAGGCAGGCGAGTCCAGGAGAAGGAGTGAAGAATACCTCTGCCGGGTAATCCGTCCAGGAGCGAGCGGTGATCCATCCAGAGCTCGAATGCAGACAAGGGGCGAGACCGGAGCCAGGGGGATATTCCACTTCTTAGCAAAAGTGGTGTCCACAAAGTTCCCCGCGTCAACAAAAACCAAAAGGGGGAAGGTGGAAGTCAGTCCAAGAAACTTCGGCCGGGAATAAAGACCAAGACGAGGTTTGAGGAAAAAAACAGCACTACTGACTCCAACAGTATTCGGCGGAAGGGTTCGAGAGGCAAGCAGAGAGATGATCAGGTGCAGCGCAATACAGACACAGTCCCTCCCGGCGGCGCCTCTCCTTTTCCTCCGAGGACAGGGGTGCATGAGGCAGAGTGGGCACCGTGGGGTGTAGTACCCTCGGGGACGCCCGGGACTGCTTCCTGGATGACTCTCTGCTCTCCGCAGCCGAATGCGAATGTCCAGTTCCATCACCTGAGCGATCGCCGCCCAGAGAGACAGAGCGCCAGGTGGTCCTCTAGTTCTTCCGAGAGACCCTTAGAGGAAAAAAAAGTCAAATCGGGGCTTCGGGGTTCCAGTCAGACTCCGTGGCGAGGGCTTGGAATTCGGGCACATCCTCACACAGTGACCCATCACCCTGATGAAGCGAGGACAGCCGGAGATGAGTCAGGCCCGGGTTGACCGGAGAAAAACCTGTGTCTGGAGCCGGTCTGCAAAAAGCTGGAAGATCGGCAAACTGAAAACTTCCCCTAGCAAGCAACACAGCTGCCCAGGCCAGAGCCAGGCCTGTGCGCAGAGAAAGGGCAAAACCGATCTGCTCCCGGCGAGAGAAAAAAAAAAGCGGTCGGGGTGCAGCTGGATAAATAAAACCCCTGCAGCCCGCGGCGTTGCCGTCTTCTCTTTCCGGGACAACAGACAGTGAAGTTACGGGAGGGGTGGGCGGGGCCACGGGGGTCGGTGCGGGAGCCGGAGAGACGCGGTTAGAGAGAAGCTGGAGCGAAGACTGAAGCTGGGCGAGAGCTTGGGAATGTGGGGTTTGAGAAGTGAGCGAAAGGCTTGAGGGTCCGCGGGATCCACCTCTGAGGCTCGGTGTCCTGTAGGGAATCCCCGCTGGAGAGAGACGAGGATCCTGTGCAGACGCAGGAGAGGGTAGTGAGCACGACGGGCGAGTCCAAAGAGCGATAGAAGCGAACAAGCCGAAGCAAGGGGCAAGGTCGTGGTCAAAAGGGACAATTTGAGTCGTAACCCGCAGAGAACACAGGAGGCAAACAGTCCGAGACGAGAGGCGGGGGTTCAAAGTCGAAAAGGCAGAAGGGGAGTCCAGAATCCAGGATAAACGAGGCACGGAAAAACCGCCAGGTAGAGCTCTCCAGGAGCAGACTCAATACCGAGCAGCGGGAAACAGGTAAGGAGGGTCTTAATAGCGCGGCGTGCTTGTTAATAATAACCCGCTGCTGGTGCCGATTAGATCGCTCAAGAGGTGGTCTCCGCTGGCCATCTCTGAACTGGCTTCATCCCTCTGCTCTCCTCCCCACTGAGAGCTGGTGTGTGGGGAGAGTACTGGAGCATCATCCAGGTGGGGCTGCACACTAGTGGGGGTGGAGGGGATCCCCATGACCTGTAAAGAGCTCCAAAGAGCTTCAAGCAGGTGCGTGCTTTCTGTGTTTTACAAAAGCAGTTTAAAAGGCCGTCATCTGCAAAACGGGATGATGCTGGAGTCACCGAGTAGGGGTCCGAGCAGCGATTGCAGCCCCCCGTCTTCTGAAAATATGGGGAAATATTGTCGCTTTCCACGCAAAAGTCTTTTGCGAAGGAAGCCAGGGGCTAGGTTTAGAAAGCTAAGATCCGGCAGACCCCGTGTTACTGGGAAGCGCCCTGTCTGTGTGTCTCATGGAGAGCATGCTAGGGTCTGCGAAAAGACTCGTTCCTGTATATTGTATATGGCCAGACAGTGGTTTGACGAGTGGCATGCACCAGCCAGGAGAGGGTTAACTGTCTCTCTGGGCTTCAACAGTTTGGCTGGGGTCTCCTTCTCCCTTAAACTGGCGGACCCGACCCCTGTGCCTGGTGCCCCGTGCGTTGCGAGCTCATTCCTCAGAGCGGACGGGCAGCTCACCCGAAAGCAGGCACTCGGACAGGGGTGTGTGTGTGTGTGCGTGGAGAGATTCGCGGTAATACTCCCCCACCGCACGTGAAGTACACAAGGCCGTGCTCGGCTCACCTCAAGCCCGAAGAGAGTTATTCATCCAGGCAATACGAGGACCTTTAGAATCGCCAATACTGACATGCAGGTAACAATAACATGCGCTAACGCACCCAACACACACACATTCTTCCGTCACACAGACGCTTGGTATCGGCGCCATCTGCGGGTAGGAAAAGGTCACTTCGATTGGCGTGATATTTTTTTCCCCGTTGAGTTCAGGTTACAGAGGGTTCTTGGCATCAGTCGTCTCCCTCTTACAAATCAGATGGTTTTTGCGGTTTACAAGATGTAGCCTCTGAGGGCTCAGCAGATGAATACAGCTGTGGCGTCCACATTACTCACTAAGTATCTGAGAACTCAGGTGGAGTTAATAAGACTCTCGGACACAAAAGCTTTATCATCATCGGAACCAGGGACACGGAGGCGCTGGACTGGATCCCCGCGAAAGTTCGCCGGCGTGAATTATCCTAGGACTGGGGGAGGTGTAAGCTGGGGCCCTACCACTCGTTTATGCTTGCGCTGTGGTTCTTGAACGTCTAACCAATTCTTCGCGGTGAGCAGTTGGGGAACCAAGGCGCACTGCTAGATCGCAAACATCTCAGCTCTCCGACTCCTCCTCCGCCCCGAAACTCCGTCCTAATTCAGACTCCCCCCCCCTCGCTACACACGACCAGAACACACGGGACAGGAGGTGCCCCTAC